GGGGGGGGGGGGTATTTAAACTATTGCTTCTCTTCCTGGAGGAGTAGAATAAGTACAAGCAGGTAAGTAAATGAACACTTTAGACAAATCAGGGCAGGCCAGGAATTAGCCAGAGGCTGGGAACACACACAGACATGTAGCATAGAAATGCACCCCACATCGCCACATAAACACAGATCTGCCTACAGTTCATCTGCTTTAGCTGCTGGCAACTACAGACACAGCCAGGACCTTGAGAAAAACCAGGAATGAAAAGAAGTTGGAAATAAATAAAGTTACATGTAAAACCAGTGTGTTAAAAGAGCTCTGTGTAATCCACATATGTTGGGGAAATGGGATTAAAATAAGTGTTTTTCTTCGGGTACCTTTCATGGAGGATACAGAAATGTTGAAACATGAACTGCTTTGGTTTGATACTGCGTTCAGTCTACGCCATACTGTACCCAAGTTCATGCATAATACTAAAGTACACATCATGTATGGCATAGATATTTCATAATTCGGCAGTACCGGATGGATTATATTTCATCACATTATATGAGTGCTATGTGTCTGCTGATGTTTTACAGGCCTACACATCCACACGAGAAAAGAAAGCTGAAGATACCAGAGAATGAATCAATGGTCAATTCATGCTCATTCGCAGAATAACAAGGGAATTACCAGTGATTGACTGCAAGAACAACCAACTGTGTGTGGGTGTGTGTGTAAACATGTACAACTGCCAGCAGTGATCTCAGCTCAGAACCCTGTTGTATAAATTAAACATCCATTGGCTGAGGTGAATCGAGGTCTGACGTCATCTGTGAAGTGATGATTCAGCTGACTGCCACTACTCTGCAAGCACGGACAGGATTCACCATTTTATTGGTCTTTACTCTCACCTCTTCCTCTTTCTAGGTTTCTTTCCTTCTTTCTCTTCCCTTGATGGAGCTTGTGATGGCCACAGCAGCATCTAAAACATTTGTTAATATCAGATCCCCTCACCCTCACATTCCTAGAGAGAGATCACTTGTTGAACTGTCGTTTTATAGTTATTCCGTTCAATTTATGGATTTTAATTTTGTGTGTCAAGTATTTATTTGTAGTTATTAGGGCTCTAGCACCAACGCGGCCGACCCTTTTGAAATCGCTAGAATTATTATTTTTTAAGATTTATTTTTTTCCAAACTTAAGCGTATTTCTGAGGGGCTCGAAAACTCACGAAACTTTGTCCATGTTTTGGAAGTGGCAGAGTTTTACTTCCGATACGGGTATCATGCTTGGGTGGAGAGGCAAATTGACTCAATACCTTAACGAGCTCCACCCACAAAATGCAATTTATTTCAAATTTGGTCAGTACAATCTAAAGACCCTTACGATGAAAAGTTATCAAAATCTTGAGTTTTCATGGAAACGTCGTGCACGATTCGCCATGAAACAGAACGTTGTTGTAAGTCCAATGTACATTATCCAATATGCCCCGAAATGTCTCCGGCTTCATAAGAGTCCAGGCCTGAGGACACTAAATGCCAATATTGACTCATAGTCATAGCGGCAAGTTCTGGGACCAGGAAATTCTTTATTCTTTGAAGTACTCCTCCTTGCTGGTTGACCAAATCTACCTCAAATATGGTCAGAAAAGCCTTTAGACCTTGATGATGCTTTATTGTGAAGTCCGTGAGCTTTCATTGAAGGGCGTTGCTTTGTTGTGGCGGCCATTTTGCCATGAAACAGGGAGCTGTTGCATCTTGAATGTCTTAAATCTGCCCAAAATTCCAGTATATTTATGTTTAAATCAGCCACTCAGTTCTGTTGCTGTGTAGTGTGCCGTACATAGACCCTTTTCAAGGCAGACATTTTAAATCTGAAAGCAGAAAAAGCACAGGTGGAATTAATAACATTAACAATGTCTCCATTCCACTAAGGTGAGCCGATTCTAGGGCCGCGGCATTGTGCATGCTGACTCACTGACATGGCTTAGTGGGAAACTGAATGGGATAGATCGTTAACGTGATTGTTTAAACCTTTGCTCGTCAACACGTCTGCTGTGAAAAGGCTCTATTGCATTCAGTACTGGTGACCCCTTTCACGGCCCACTAAAGTTCATATTCACTTTTGCTTTGCCTTTTCTGGTTCGGGGAATAGATAAAACCGCACCACTTGTTGCAGCTGCAGGTGACTTGGCCTTGCGAAACACAAAACCACCCAAACTGTCTGTGTTCAAGATCCAACAGGTCGCCTCTTACTGTTCAAAGATTGTATGGTGAATAAAAAGTGTGAAATGAAAAAGCATGCATAGGCTGTGTCCTCCTCTCACTATAAATCCACTCAATACTGTTCTCTCCAACCTTTCTTCCCCTTTTTCCAGCTGTTGTCTATCCTAAGTAGGGGACAAACCAGTGGGACTGCCACTGTTGTCCCTTCCTCAAGAAATCCATTCCATCACCTGTTTATCTACTCTGATTATCATTAGCTCCTACTTGTAGCCTCTCCCGATTTATTCACTTTGTTTTATATTAGCCTATTTTTGCTTCCATAGGAAAAAGAGATTCTAACAGGTTTGCGCGACTCTCTGCAGGCGACGGGCCATCAGCTTATGTTCCTGTGTCGAAGCTAAGCCTCTAAAAGCAGCAGCTTTTTCTTGGAGAGCAGTAAACTGCTGCTCTTAATATGCATTCAGTGCAGAAGGTCCAGCAAAAGGCTGCTTTGTGGTTCCACTGTGCGGCTAACACATTTCACCAAAAGCTGCAGAGCTTTTGGCTCGATTTTGGCAGGAATGTGGATCCCATAAAGTTCCACTCAGGATGGTGGGATGCATGAATGTCTCCACCACCCGCCCACAACTGAGCAGCTGGTGTTGATCATGATGTTAACGTTACCATCATGTAAGCAGCTTGTGATTGGACCCAGTTGTTGCTGATTCCATATGTTGCATTATTGCAATGTTAATGTTAAATGTGTCTGGACTCTGAAAACGTGCACGTACTGCTGCCATTTCATCTTGCTGACAAGGCATAAAATGGACAACAGCATTCTGGACCTCCGACCTTAAAATCCCGTCAGATGGTCTTTAGCACAATAGGTAAGCATGTTTTTCTGGTAGGATGGGGGCATACCAGAAGACAGGCAAGACAATTGGCAATGGCAAGAGGTTGCTAGATTCATACACACACACGCACTGCCGTCTCCAACCCCCACTGTGTGTGGGTGCTAAACCGCAGCTCATTTTTTTGCAGTGAGCTTTAGCTAAATTAGGCTGTGGATGCATGCCAAGTTGGCCTCGTAATACAGAAAGGAAAACTACCTGATGTTCCAGTGCCACAAACATACAAAGTCACACACAGTAGTACACGCATAGGTTTAGATCAGTGATTCCCAACAGAGGTACTTGTACCGGAGAAAGTGTACTTATGTAGTTTCCAGGGGGTACATAGAAAGTTTGTAGCTCAACTCATTTAAAAAGTAGTAATTCCATTTTGATTAAAAACAAAAAACCTATTCACCTACTGACTCTGCTACACTTGGACACTTCATGTCACCATTAAGTGAAATATAGTTAGCAAGCGGGCAGAGATGTAGTTAGATAAATTGAATAGATAAAAATAATGACTTCACAGTTCAAGTATAATGAATAATGAATAATAATAAAAATAATGAATAAAAGGTTCAAATGCTGAGCTAAAAGTAATAAATATGGTTCAACTTTGTCTAAAAAAGTAATAAACAAATGATTCAAATGCTTCACTAAAAGTAATAAATAAATGGTTCAAACACTTAGCTAATAGTAATATTAGCTTAGCATAAAATAATGAATAAACAGTTAAAACAGTCAGCTTACAGTCATGAATAAATGGTTAAAACATCTCTGCACCAGTAGTTCGGAAGCTGCTAGCTCTTGTACTTCCAAAACCATAACATGCCAGTTAACCTGCAAACTACTGTAAACATGTTCATATTTCCAAACATCAAGCTCATATTTAAATTTTAAAAAGCCTGAACACAAACCTTTTCTACTTAATGCTTTTAAAAACAATTTACTGGGCCTTTCTTCCTCTTTTTTTCTAATAGCCTAAATCATGAAAACATGGTTCAGTGCATAAAATATCTAATACATCTAATATGTACCAACAATGATACAAATTCACACCAACATGTACTGTCAAACTAATCAAAATCAAACATTCAGAAAACATGAATTATTCAGCGGTGCTTATCAGCAAACATACCTGATCAAAAAGATGCAGATCATGTCTTGATGAAAAATCCCATTTCAACAAACTTTTCCATCCCAAATACCAAGTGTGAGGCAGCTCCAGAATTCAAATCTTCAGATAGGAAATGATGTCAGTGTTGCATTCAGGGAAAAATTAGGAAAGTTCCAAGAAGCTCCTGCGTATGGCCAGACCAGAGAAAAAACATCTGCATCGTATTTCATGCATTGTTGACATAAAAACACCTTTCGGTGCCTTAAAAAAGAAAAACCACAGTAACCAACATGACATACATTCATTTATTTGGTTAACCCACTTAAAGTCTAATCCTAACCAATCGTGAATCCAATTGTCATAAACTCTTTGTGTGATGTAGTGGTAACAGGTTCAATCAGAGGATGAGACATTTAAAGCTGTATAAAGCAGTTTGTGACCACTAGGTGGCAGAAATATTCTCAGAATGTCCACCCTGACACCAGTGTCATCTCATGTTGTATTAGGAAACAGTTTACCTACACAGTTAGCTGACAGTTAGCATCCAAATGGAGTTGTCAAATGCATGTTAAGTAATCCTACTCTTTCTTTTGTTCTTTTATTTCTGTTTTGGTCTCCACCATCTTGCAGAAAAGAACATACAGGTTATAAAGGACTCTACATTTTATTAGTGCTTCCGGGTTTAATCAGAGTGTATTTATACAATTGATTTATCATGACTAACAAGTAATGGGCAGTCCACTTGCTCTTGTATTGTTTCCCATATCGGGACAACTATAGAAAGAAAGCTGTAATGGTAAAAGGCAGGAGGTAACAACAGTAGATTTTGGCAGGATTTATCCCTTGACCACCATTTTTTGTGCACCTGGTTTAGGCTACTGGTTGCGATATAGTTTTTTTTAGTAGCGAAGCCAAAAAGAGGAAAACAGGCACCTGAGATAATGACAAATATGAAGTCCATTCAAAAAACATTTCAATATCTGTACATGAAGCATTATATTGCCATCAAACTGGTTGTATGTTTATTCATTTCTGAGGATTTTTCTCTTGGCCAGGTAATCTCACAAGGACCGCCCGGCCAAAAAATACAAAATAAAAAAAGAACAGACCAATGAGGTGAGCAAACAGACCACACAACATGAACAAATCATTTCATAATCCATCTAACAATCATGTAGTTAAGAACTTCTACAGCAGCTTAATTAAGGTAATGATCAGGTAAGGATGAACATATCTCTTCTTGAGTGACAGAAACCAGCAGAACACCACCATCACAATCGCCTCGTCCTAAAGTCCATGTAAGTACATTTGAAGTGAACAATGTGTCACTGAGTCCGAACTGAGCAGACAGATGTTCGTGTTGATTTTGGAAATACAAGATTAGTTACAAGGCCTCTGAAACAGTACTGAAGGTTTACAGCGTGTCAGCATGTTAACATCTCAACAAGAACTGGGTACGGTGTTCCATGATGCCTGTTCATTCCAAAGACAGTTGCTCACCCGGTGCATACCCCAGACATTGATGTTGTCAAAAGACTGCCATTGTGTCTTGTTGGCAGGACTGACACTTCCACACATTCATGGGTAAAGTTGAACTGAAATCAAAATGTATTTTTGCTTGGAAACTAGCTTAAATTGTTATGACTTGTACACTAGTCTGGTCAAAATTGGAATTACCAAAAAACAAAAATGTTTAAGTTGAATCAATCTTTCTGCCTTGGTAGCGCCTCCTACATAAGTGTTCTGCAGGGGAATTTTTGGTCTAGATTAACCATGACATTACTGACAAGTTCAGTGGTCCAATACCTAGCCTGATTTACGGTTTACAGACTAGCTTTTCTGTGAGTTTTGACAGTCTGGTCATTTACTATGACCTAATCTGGACAACATGAAAGAGAGACAGCTAATGCTAGCTACATCCCCTTCTTTCTATAATGGAGGACAAACACTGAGGGTGCGGGAGCTGTGGATGACTCAGGTGTTGAAATAATATGAACAAAAGCGTTGGGGATCAGTGCTAAGGTTAGCAAGCTAGGTTAATTAGCTTCCACTTCCTCAGTAAAAAGCTAGCTACCTCATTGAGCATTACCCTCACCTAATCACCACTATGTGGGCTTGTTGAGAGAAGAGAGGGGGAAAATCTCTCGTATTAATGTTCGTGGGCTACAGGACTATGACTGTTCTAATAAGTAGTGCACCAGTAGTGACAACGCCAGCTTCCAAATCTCAGTGGCAACATCTATGTTCCCAGGGTCCTAAGTTTCCAAGGCCCTGTGTTTCCAGGGTCCTGTTTCCAGGGTCCTGTTTCTAGGGTCCTTTGTTTCTAAGGTCCTGTTTCCAGGGTCCTATGTTTCCAGGTGTATTTTCCAAGGACCCTTATTTTCCAAGGTCCTAAGGTTCCATGGTACTTGGTTCCCAGGGTCCTAAGTTACCGAGGTCAATATTCTGTTACACATTAAGTCAACTTTTCAAAATGTTGTATGCTGTCAGGAACTCATTTTCCCAGGGCCCTATGTTCAGATCTGTGTTTTGTTCCCTTTGACGAGTTTCCACAATAGCCCAAGTCATATTAAGCAAATAGAGCTAGGGAACATCTTTTTCAGGTTCCCATTACGTGCTATATGGAGCTGGGGAACCAGCCTGTTCTCATTCCCAGGTTGTCAATAATGTACTCATTTTACCCCAAACAAACCTAACCAAGTAGTTCTGTTGACTAAACCTATGGGATGCCAAAAGGACCTGACCATGCGTCCCTATGTGACGAGCTGGAAATAAGAATGGGTTGGGGGAACATAGCACCTTCGGAACAAAGGAGCCTGGGAGAGCCCATATGTAGAACTGGGAAACATAGCACCCTTTGCCATGTTCCCATTATGTGGCATCTAAATCTGCGGAACATAGGAATGAGCCCATGTTGGTAAGCCCTCTGCCAAAAAATGGAAGATTACTTTACTTTAACATGCAAAAGCTATTTGAATTAGTATGCTAACAAGTTGTTAACAACTATACAGCAATAGTTAAAAGTAGGCCTATGGTAGCTAGCTAACAAGCTATTACCTAAAGATAAAATAAGTCAGATCCATCAGGGATGAAATGACTGCTTGGCAGTCAGAAATAGATGGTCCAGTTGTACAAAATAAAATATGCTTGCAGTCTGTGTTTTTTAAGAGCCAAAGACTTCAAACATGGCTGACAGCGGTTGCATGACACCAGCACGTTCTTTCTATGCGACACACAGTTCTTCTATTTGGGCAGTAGTCACCCGGATTTATTACTTACCTGCAGGAATGTTAGAGTATACAAGTCTATTTTTAGAATGAAGGAAGGGCTGCCGAGGGAAGTCTTTGTTCCCATGGCAATGAAAACAGTGTAATAACATGATAAGATCATTTCTAGCTTGCCGGCATTCACAGTTTGCAACAGAGTGGGCTTTCTCTTTGCATTACCAACGTATTAAGTGTAAGTCATTCTGTACTCAGTTGACAGCCGTGAAGTCCATCTGGCTAACAGGAAAAAAATAATTTGCCTCACAGTCTATTTCTAAAAAACTACAGCTCGGACTAGAATCTATGAGTGGCATGCAACGCGCTCCACGTTGGCATGTGCATCCGTCCATCACACATGTAGAGCAGTACGACGTGTGCAATCGACTAACATGACAATTTCAGTAAAGTTTGAACATTGATTCAAAGCAATGCCTGGATTCTACGGAGAGAGATCAGATGTAACACATGTAAGTAGTGTAAAGAAAAGGATGTGCTCTCCTGGGAGGCTCATGTGTGCCTTCAGCACCACATATTGAAAAGTGTTGTAGCTGCTACATAAAAGAGCGTAAGCACATGAAGCAGGAAGGTGCTGACGGTCCCCAGTACCCAATGAGCCCATGTCCATCAATCCATTTGTGTCGATTAAGTCTTCATCACTGAATCTGTCCGTTCGTTATCAGTTCTTTCTTCGATCTCCAGTCTCTTCCAGGTTCTTGTAATATTCGATTGTTCAGGATAATACTATAATTATTGCTTGTCTACGCTATGAAGCAAGTGTGCCTCACTAAATCAGTGATTCTTCCACAAAAAAACAAGGTACAAATTTGAACACTTTCATCAGGTGAACAGTCGGTGGAAGTGGGAACAACACGCAGACACTCATTCGACCAGCGTGGACGATGCACATTCAACCACACTGAGACCGATGAATTGTTCGAAATGATGCCGCGATCACACAGAACTACTGTGTCAGACACCAGGACACAGGTTAGGACATTCAAGGACCGAATCACTCAGGCAACGTGCTCTCCATTGCTGAGGCCCGGGCCGAAGCACCCCTCCGGATATATGTGTGTGTGTGTGTTGCATGTCACACCACCGTGTGTCTGGAATTCTCGTTTTCGTTTTTGGGCGACGGGGGAATATTCCTGCTGAACTGGCTGAAGCTGGCAGCCCTGCTCCTCGCCCTCGGCCCTCCTCCGTCTCCGGGCAAGCCCTGCGTCGGACCAGGGGGAAGGGTGCTGAAGCGGCCCGGGAGGAGCGAGCCCTGGCCCGGGTGGAGCGTGTGGCGGCCCGGGTGGAGCGTGTGGCGGCCCGGGTGGAGGGTGGCGTCCTTGGAGAAGAGGCTCTGGATGAGCTGGAATTTGTCCTTCTCTTCCCGGAGAAAGACGTCAACCAGGAGCTTCTTCTCCCGCTTGAACTGCTCCACGATGGTTTTGGGAACGTCGGGGATCCCCCAGGCAACAATGAGGCTGAGGAACATCACCAGATTCTGGCGGAGGGAGGAGAAGAGGAGAAAGGGTTATGTGAGAGAGAGAAAATAGTAATAATTCCTACTCTGATTTAAGATGGCTGATTGGCATTGGACATGAGAGATAATTGTGTCGTGGAACTATATATTATACTACAATAGATAACTTTCCACTGTTTCAGAACACCTCACACAGTATCTTCACCTCCCACGCCCTCACCGCAACCTTCCCGCTTGCAACTCTTTGACTCTGCAATTTGAATTACAGGCTAACATAATTCTAAAGTTATTCATATAGCCTAACAATCACAATAACATATTTAACTGGCTATTGATGGTATTGTATACACCAATATCACTATGTATATCTTACATTATTTGACCCCCTCCCGTAGCAGCGAGTAGCCTCGCTGTGGAGAGACGTTTTTCTTCTTTATCTCAGTGACAGTGGGACCTTCACGTGTAATGGCATTAACAGCAGTCATTGTTTTCCCCTTGAATTCAGCAGGTCCCTTAATTCAGCTGCTGATGTTGTTAAAATGATAGACTTTCCTTTGTGGATCTCTGAAAGCAGGACTTCAATATCGGATGTATTGGGCAGGATGCTAAAGCTGACCCGTATGCAACGAGGCTTTGACCGTTGCCAAGATTGACTGAGGCATCTGGTAATATTCCCAACCACGATGAGAGCACATTGTGATCCGCCAAAAATACGCACACACTATCACTTTATGGGCCTTTTTATGATACGAAGCGTTTCCATTCGACTGCAGAACACCACTGACACAATGCAAAACACAGTGTGGGCGCTTTGAACTATGCTGCAGAGTAAGAAGACTGAGTTTTTGGTTAAAGATTCCCAACATGTGTATGCACCTGTTAGATGTCTTAGTCATCTCTGTATTCTGTATTGTGTCATGTTGTGCTCTTAAACGCTTTTAAATGTCTGGACCCCACACACATGAGCTGATTGACCAGCTTATAGACGCAACACAATGAGCTCCTACCTGGAACAGTATGACGAAAGCCAGTCTTGCAGCCAGGACACACCAGTACTGTTTGGAGAAGGTGTACGCATCTGGAGACCAGGGGGGCTCCCTGTAGTCTTTGTACCTATAGGGATAGAGAGTGAGGATGCAAAGAAAATGGAGTTACTCGAATGTCACTGTTCCTGGTGGAGCTTTGTTTGGAATCCAGTGGGTAGTTAGCATGAGCAGTAACATGGTTAAATATTAAAAACAAGAGTTCAAACTGAATCAACCATAGGCTGTTTAAGAGAAGTGGACGTAGTCACCTCGAGGACACACATTGGTTTGGGGACTGACGTTTTGAAGCCTCAAGTTCGGTATTTTCTGCCCTAAAACATACCCTGCTTTATGGTCTATTTGACTCTAAATGGACCATAATTTACTAAATGAACATCATGCTGTATTGAAGAAGACTTGAAACTAGAGATTGAGACCATAAACTCATGTTTACAATGTTTACTGAGGTAATAAATCAAGTGAGAAGTAGAGTCATTTTCTCATAGACTTCTTTTTGCCACCAGAGGAGTCAGTCTTCTAGAGGAAGAATGCAAGTTTAAGAAGCTTCAGCATTGGCTTCAATTCTCAAACCTGGAGGTTTCCGCCCGGAATCAACGGAGGTCACCTCCCGCACTGTTCGGCTGACCTGTTCGGCTGACAGGTGGTCGCTGATAGGAGCAGCGTCTGACAATCTGTCTCTGACAAACTTTCCTCCTCCATACTGTGAGCCAAACGGATTTATCTTTCACCTGCACACATTCAGACATCCTCCTCCACTCAGCTTGAGACCAGACTCAAAGTGCAATAAAATTTATTAGGATTCCTTTTCGTTGTTTTCTTTGCAGGAAACCATTCTAAACGGCAGAAAACTGGAACCACATGTCCTGGGAACGGCAGAGGGCTTAAAAAGACGGTTCGAAGAGAGAAACGAGAGAGGGGGATAAGATTACAAGAAATAGGAAAGGAACAGAGGCAGAAGAGTGACAAAATAAAACATCTGTTTTGTCAATAAGAGAAATATGAAGCCTTGAGGAAGTTGAGGATGTAATGCACGTAAATGAAAACATTCTTGAGCCAGTCATTGTTTCGTCATTTATGAAATTGGGTCATTCGCTAATACATTTTGGCTTTGCTTTGCTGTCTCACTGATCCAGCCAGCTGGATTCTTATGTAGGCATATGGAGTGTTACTAATAGCACAGACCGATCACAGTCCAAGTGTTTCATTCAAAAAATAAACATTAACACGTTGTAGTAATATAACTCGTGGCAGTCGGACAGTTTGGGTCGCCGAGCCACTGCCACCCGAATGTCTCGGTGGTCCATCAGTCTGAGGAGCACAGTGAAGGAGAAAAACGCTGATGCTCCGTCGCCGTCTACTCTCTCCATAAAAAAGTGAATAAAAAGAAGAATAATGAGCAAAGAAGATCTAGTGGATTAGCATTTATGGGCAAACATCTGTGTTCCAGCAATTCTGAAGAAAGATTGTTGATACAGTCGCTTATAGTGATCACATCTGTCTGGGTCAAATTGATCTATGACTATGAAATGATTTGAACAACATTCGTATAGGAATTATTTGAACTCAACACTGGCTGGAATAGTGTTGTGTGGCTCGGCCTGTTTGTTTCCCATTTACAGAAGCAGCTCCGTGTATGCACGCAGAGCGGACAGAATCGCTGACTGCACCGTTAACATGCATTGTGCTGATGGCTTGAGCCAACTCATTGGGTACATTTGTGCTCAGTAACTCCTGGTAGAAGAGAAGTTTGACCAAGCTGTTTCCTGTTGGACGCAATCACTCCTAAACAACATAAAGAGAGTCTCAACCTCCTTCTTTATAAAGAAAAAACACTAATTGGATGCAGTCAGTCAGTCACATATGGAAACACAGCAGGATTCAATCAAAATCAACTCTTCGGCAAGCAGTCAGCTAAGTTGACAGCTAAGGGGAGGTTGAATCTGTAACTGCTTAAAATCCTGCTAGACATAATCAAATGTATTGAAAAGGCAATGAACAACAACACACTTATTATCCAACTATTAGTCTGTACAGTAGGCTACAACACTTCCTTCTGAACACCAATCAGGGGAGCAAGACTCCGAACTAAGCACATGCTTCCATCAGATGTGTGATTTTAATATGACTTGAGCTTTATAGTCAAAGATCAGCGTCATGTGAAGCTATAAAGCTATATATATAGCCGTCCTTCAGTCAAAATATAGCCGCTATTGCGGGTTCAATTCCTTTATCTTTAAACAGAAGAAAGCAGCTCAATTGACAAATATTTAGAGTAAAGCCACAAGCAGCAGCGAGCGCGTCTTGGGCTTCACAAAGTTACTTTAGCTGGTGAATTCTGTCTAAAGGCGCGAGACTGATCACGCTTGTATCGTCATTACAATGTCCTCGTGCAATGCCCTTTGAAAACATGCCTGTTCAGAACGGGCCGAGTGCTCGGCCTGTGGTCTCTCATACAAACAACTTCACACTCAACCCTGAGCTTCCTTGGGTCTCCAGCAATACACCTGCCATGGCAAAGTTCCGTCTCACACTGAAGTCACATCTACTCACAGTCAGAAACAGCAGTAAAAAAAAAACACCAGGGGGAGATTTTACCGTTAGGCAAAGTGGACAACCTGAGCGCTGTCCGTGGTCCTGACTCAACAGCTAAGCGATATGGTCACATCATGTGTCAGCCAATAACTTTGCTGTTTTTGTATTTTTCTAAAGATACATAAAGCTTAAACAGAGGGTACAAAAATACAACACATGTGCTCATAAATGTTGAATCAGCGGCCCGATCAATACGCTCAGGTGCCAGGGACACCTATAATGTTTATTTATTTGTTTACTAGGCCCACTCACGGAAATCAATGTGAAGCTTGACAAAAAACGTAATATGTTTGAATGAGAAATTAATCTTTGGAGCACAACAGACATGTCATTATCATGAAAATTATCCTCTGAGTTTTGTAATAATTGGACAAACAATGTTTGATTTAGAGTGTAATTTGTGTCGTTTCCCACGCCCCTTTTGGTAGATTTAAATGGAACTTTTAAGGTATGTTCCAGGACATATCCTGCGCAGCCAATGTCTTAAACTTGCATTATCTCATCTGGCCATCAGGGGGCGACTCCTCTGGTTGCAAAAAGAAGCATGATTATATAGAGGTCTATGAGAAAATGAGTTCATGGTCTCAATCTCTAGTTTCAAGTCTTCTTCAATTCAGCATGATGTTCATTTAGCGTAAAATAGAAGATAAAACAGGGTATGCTTTAGGGCGTGGCTATCTTGTGATTGACAGATCGCTACTAGACCTATATATGGCATCTCTACCATGGCGTCACTCCCCCACAGTCCAAATATGGTCACTTTTGTTCACTGGTTGCAAAAAAACAAGATGGCGACGGCCAAAATGCCAAGCTCGAGGCTTCAAAACCGCAGTCCACAAACCATCACTTATCTAACCACATGGTCTAGCAAAAAGGCAGAAAAGAAAGAGGGTCAAGATGGAAAATGCTGAGAAACATGGAAGTAAAGAAGTAATTAAGCTATGACATGTTTTCTGTTTTCTGCAGGTCAATTGTGCTCAAGATGAGCCATTGAACGTGTGGAGCACAGGGAGACACTGACTTGGCAAACACAACATACATAAATCTATTTCCATTGCGGCTGCTAAATACTTTTTACTGCATGGTCAACAAACACAAAAGCCATGAAGAGTGGAGGTTATGGAGGTCTAAAGTACTATAGTACTAGCAGTCAGTCAATCACTGGCTATGCTAGTCGTATGCATAATCTGCATTTGTATTTTTTCATATATTTATCTTCGTTGGCTTCTTTTTTTTATAGAAAGAACTGCAGGAAATGCGGATCAGACTGGAAACGGTCCTTTACAGTGAACACACAGCAGATGAACATGTCAGATTCATGTGATGGATCAGATCAAAGTTTTAAAATTGAGACAATTGACATCCACACACACACACACACACATACACACAAATTCCTCTGGACTTAAAATAGATGAAATGTCCTGATTGTCTGACTAAGTACTTGACCGGCAGTATAGAAAGGGAGGGCAAAATATGTGTGTGTGCATTGTGTGTGTGTGTGTCAGCGGGGACTTATGGTGTCTGATTCCTTCTCCTTATACAGTCATGAGTGAGGAATGCTGCCCGTGAGAGTCGGCTCTTCTCTCCCTCTCTTCCTTCTTTGATCTATTCATCTTTCTCTCACCCGCTCGCCACTATTTTACAGTATTTTTGTTGTGGATCAACTTCTGATGTGAGCTAAACTGCAAGACAAGACCTCACACTCCAGCCACTTTTATTCTGACTTGCCAGGTTGGAATCAACTTTGTACATAGTATCGTGAAATAAATGTTTGTCCCTCTTTCTCTCTTCCTATGTGTGTGTGTTTTTCGTAGACACTCCATGTTTGGTTATAATAGTGCAGCTCGGCAACAACTGGAGCATCTAACTCAATATTCTTTCATAAGACCAATGAGATTACAGTTAGTATGTGAGAGACTTGAGAACGTGTGTGTGTGTGTGTGTGTGTGTGTATGTTCCTGAGAGTTCCTGCTGTCAACACAGTGGCCCCTGTGATTCAGGAATACATTTCGGACAAAAACTCGGGCATGGGAGGAGTTCGGGGAGACCATGGAGAAGGACTTTCGGCTGGCCTCAAGGAGGTTCTGGCAAACCATCCGACGGCTCAGGAAGGGAAAGCAGGGCTTACCCCAGGCTGTTCTCAGCAGGGGGGGGGGAACTGCTGACCCGGACAGGGGACATCGTCGGGCGGTGGAAAGAGCACTTTGAGGAACTCCTAAACCCGACCAACATGTCCTCTGCAGAGGAGGCAGCGCCTGAGGACCTAGGGGGAGGCTCACCCATATCCCTGGCAGAGGTCGCTGAGGTAGTCAAAAAGCTCCTTGGTGGCAAGGCGCCGGGGGTGGATGAGATCCGCCCTGAGATGCTGAAAGCGCTGGACATAGTTGGGCTGTCCTGGCTGACATGCCTCTTCAATGTAGCATGGGGGTCGGGATCAGTGCCCATGGACTGGCAGACCGGGGTGGTGGTTCC